TTATCTTCCACAGGGATGCCAAGGTAGTTATTCAAAGTAGTATTTCAAAGCCAATCATTTCCTCGTCTTATTATTCGTTGCTTTTTTCATTTTTCTTGGTTTCTCTATTCATCTCTCTAATGAACCGCTCCAGATCTCATATACACAGGACATTGATGAGGTGCAAAAGAACGAGAAAGGTAAAGTGCCGATCGGTACTGCAAGAATACAAATTGGGGAACTACACATGCAGTTTGCCCACTGATGCGTGGCCGATGGCTAAAGTTGGCTGTCAAGGATTTCGCATTACAACTATTGCATGCGCGAGTACTATCTCCAATTTCATTTATCCTATTGCTTCCTTCTTTAATATTATAAAAAAAAACATGTAATTTACAACCATCAATAACTTGATCTATTCATTTTGTTTAAATAGTTGTTGGAGGGGCTTGCATCCAATTGTGGGTTATCGCTTTCCATGTTCCATCATCTCATATACAAGAGGCGAAGAAAATGGAGGAACTTTTTGAAAAACTTGGAGGCGTTGTTATTGGAGCACCAAAGGGTTAAGACAAGAACTCTTCAGAGAACGCAGAGTTAGTAAAGGCTACTAAAAATTTATGATCAAAATTTTACTCCTAAAAATTATGATCAAAGTTTACTTCTTGGCGAAGGAGGTTTCGGATATGTTTATAAAGGAGTTTTAGCAGATAACACCCAAGTTGCAGTAAAGAAGCCTAAAGATAAAGACAAAACTCAAATAAATCAAGAATTTCAACAAGAACTTGGCATTGTTTCACAAGTTAACCATAGAAATGTTGTCAAGGTATTAGGCCTTTGTTTGGAGACTAACGTTCCTTTATTAGTTTACGAATTCATTTCCCATGGAACCCTTTCCCAGCATATCCATTACAACAGGTCTAAAATATTAGCCACATGGAAAAATCGTCTAAGAGTAGCAGCAGAGACTGCGCTTGCACTTGATTATTTGCATTCTTTAGCAGATCCCCCAATTATCCACGCGATGTAAGTCATGTAAATATTTACTCTTTAGACGATACAAGTCATGTAATATACTCTTAGACGATACTTACACTGCTAAAGTATCTGATTTTGGAGCTTCAGTACTAATTTCTCCTGGTCAATCTGATATGGCTACAAGAATACAAGGGACTATTGGATATTTAGATCCAGAGTATCTTATGACAGGTAATTTAACTGAAAAGAGCGATGTCTATAGCTTTGGAGTGGTTCTTGTTGAACTATTAACAGGGGAGAAACCAAATTCTAGCACAAGATCCGGCGAAAAGAGTAACATCGTTCAATATTTTCTCTCATCTCTAGAAAATAATGAGCTATCTGGGATACTTTGTTTTGATGTAGCTAGTGAGCGTTGAGACTGAAATGAGAGGATTGGTTTTAAGTTTTTGCAGCAGCTTGCAAAACAATGGTACGAGTTAAGTGGCATAAAAGAGCCAACTATGAAAACCAAGGTTCAGAAGAGCTTGGCAGATTGAGAAAATTGCATAGAGAGAATCAGGGCACTTATCATCAAAATAGTGAAGAGACTGAACATTTTTTAGGTAAATCCATCTTACCGATTCCATATGACATTGGTAACTGCAAAGTTGAACCAACAGATAGAATCCTTAGCCTGACACGTATCAGATGGTCGAGTACTCTTACTGGGTAGCATTTGAAGGATCACCAATCAATCCAAGGAGCAAATGAAATCTAATGTTAGTATGTCAAAGCTGTTTATGTCCTTAATCCTAGTAATGTCTGTCTCAAGGGTGTTTATGTCCTTAATCCTAGGAATGTTGTCTCAATAAGGAAAAAAAAAATGTCTTTAGATGTTGCATTAAGTTAAATATTGTAAAATAATCATAATTTGGTAGAACTTTGAAAGTCATAATGTTAAGTTATGGCATTTTTTCCCCTTATTTGGTAAAGGAGGGAAAATATTAAAGGAATTAAGGGTGTGTTTATTTACATAAAACAGTTTTCTGTTTTTTATTTTCTGTTTTTTAATAAAATAATTTTTTTACAAAATGAAAACTAGAAAACAGAAAATGAAAAATGTGTTCACTTGATAATAATAAAAAATTATATTTTAATTTAACTTAACAAATATTATTTATAACTTTTATAATTAAAAGTAATAAAATATTATAAAAGAAATTTAGAAATTTGGTATGTAAAAGTTTTTGAATTTTTACTATTGATTATTTATAATAATAATATCATTTTTTACCATTTTTGTAAATTTTTTTTAAAATAAAGGATATAATATATATAATAATAATAAAATTAATTATTTTATAAAGCAAATATAAATTTATTTTAACTTAAATCTTTTTATTTTTTTCAAATAAAAATATTTTATAGATTAAAATTATTTGATAGATGATTAAATATTTTTATTTTTTCAAATAAAAATATTTTATAGATAAAATTATTTATAGATGTTACAATTTTAATTATGAAAATGTCATTTTAAAAAAGTGGAAAATACGGCTCCGGAGCAGGACAAATTACAGGACTTCTTAGACAAAAGGGGTATACCTTGGGATTTTTGGCCCGTAAGCTTCGGCATGATATGACCCGAATAAGATTTCAATGCTTCGTACAGGTCAATAAACAAAATATTATAGTCTCAAAATATCATGCCAAACAATAAAAAGAGAGATATCAGGTAAAAATTGTCAAACTCTTCCGGAGTGACACTGATTTTAGGGATCAATTTATGTTGCGTATGTAATTCTTAATGAGGCATTAAGTAGGTGAGATAAGCATGTCTGACAGAGCACAAGACTCTAGAATATCACTTAGAAGACCCAATACGAGCTAGCCATAAGATGTACAAAAGATATCGACTCCTGAGTAGGACTTATTACAGGGCTTTTTATACCAAAGTGGTTTACCTTTTAATTTTTACGCCGGAAGATTTAGTATGTAATGGCCCGAGAAAGCTTTTAATGTTTCCTACATGTCAATAGACGAAGTATTATAGTCTCAAAATGTCATGCCAAGCAACAGACAGAGAGATATTGGTTCAAAATTATCGAATGCTTCTGAAGTGACACGGATTTTGGCAATGAATATATATTGTGTATGCAATTCTCAATGAGGTATCGAGCATACAAGAAAAGTATGCCTTACTGATTGTAAGACCGCATACTATCACCTAGAAGATCCAATATGAGTTGCCCGTTAGACATACAGAAGATATCGGCTCCGGAGCATAACTAGTTACAAGGCTTCTAAGACCAAATGAGTATACTTTCAGATTTTTAGGCCTAGAAGCTCCAGCATGAAATGGCCCAAGCATGATGTCAATGCTTCCTAAAGGTCAATAAATGAAGTATTATAGTCTCAAAATATCATGTCAAGCAACAGAAAGAGAGATATTGGTTCAAAACTGTCGATTGCTTCTAGAGTGACACAGATTTTAGGGATGAATTTAAATTGCATATGCAATTCTTAATGAGGCATTGAGCAGGCGAGAAAAGCGTGTTCAAATGACTACAAGAATCCATACTATCACCTAGAAGCCCCTATACGATGTTCAAATGACTACAAGAATCCATACTATCACCTAGAAGCCCCTATACGAGAAGTCCATAAGACGTGCAAAAGGTATCGGCTCTGAAGTAGGGCTAGTTATAGGGCTTCTTAAACCAAATAAGTATACCTTTGGATTTTTTGCCCGGAAGCTCCAATATAAAATTGTTCGAGGAAGATTTAATGCTTCGTACATGTCAATAGATGAAATATTGTGGTATCAAAGTGACATGCCAAGCAACAGATAGAGAGATATTCGGTCAAAATTGTCAAACGGTTCTGGAGTGGCACGGATTTTGGGAATCAATTTATGTTGCATATGCAATTCTTAATGAGGCATCAAGCAAGCAAGACAAGCATGTCCGAATGAGCACAAGACCCCATACCATCTCCTAGAAGACGAATGAGCACAAGACCCCATACCATCTCCTAGAAGACCCTATACAAGCTGCCCATCAGATGTACATAAGATATCAGCTTCAGAGCAGGACTTTTTAGATTAAAGGGGTATACCTTTGGATTTTTTGGCTCGAAAGCTCCAGCATGAAATTACCCAAGCATGATTTCAATGATTTCAATGATTTCTACAGGTCAATAGACAAAGTATTATAGTCTCAAAATGTCATGCCAAGTAACAAACGGAGAGATATTGGGTCAAAATTGTCAAATGCTTCCGGAGTGGCACAAATTTTGGGGATAAATTTATATTGCTTGTGCAATTCATAATGAGGCTCGAGCAGGCAAGAAAACCATGTCCACCTTCCTCAAGACCCCATACTATCACCTATAAGACTCTATATGAGCTGCTTGTCAGACATGTAGAAGATATCGGTTCCAGAGTAGGACTAGTTATAGGGCTTCTTAAACCAAAGGGGTATGCCTTTGGATTTTTTGCCGAAATCTCCAGCATGCAATGGTCCGAATAAAATTTCAATGCTTTCTACAGGTCAATAGATGAAATATTAGTCTCAAAATGGTATAGATGCCAAGCAACTTACAAAGAGATATAAGGTCAAAACTGTTGAATGCTTTCAGAGTGGCATAGATTTTGGAGATCAATTTATGTTGCATATTCGATTGATAAAGAGATATCGAGCAGGTGAGATAAGCATATCTAGCTAAGCACAAGACCTCATAATATCACTGAGAAGATCCTATACGAGCTGGTCATAAGACGTACAGAAGATATCAGCTCTTGAGCAGGACTTGTTACAGGGCTTCTTAGATCAAAGAGGTATACCTTTAGATATTTTGACCGGAAGCTCCGGTATGAAATGGCCTGAGCAAGAGTTCAATGCTTCCTACAAGTTAATAGACGAAGTATTATAGTTTCAAAATATCGTGCCAAACAATAGACAGAAAAATATTGAGTCAAAACTATTGAATGCTTTCAGAGTCGTACAGATTTTGTTAGGATTAATTCAAAATAATATTATTCAAAATATTTTGAGATTTCAATTTTATTTAGTGCAGATTTTCTGCATAAAATTTGATGTTTTTGTTATTAGGAATAATAATTTTTAGGAGTATTTTTAGGTCTTATTTGATTTACTTGTAAGCCTATAGTATTTTTAGGTCTTATTTGATTTACTTGTAAGCCTATAAATAGGCATATCCTTTTATTAATTCAATGAAGTGCAAAACATTATTAATCATCTTGTGCATTCCATTGTTCCTTCCCTAAAAATCTCAACATGGTATCAGAGCCTGTCTATTAAATGGCCACAAACACTATTCCATTTTCTTCCCCTTCAATTTTTGTTGGTGAAAATTATCAGCTATGGGCTGTTAAAATGAAAGCTTATTTACAAGTTTATGACTTATGGGAGCATGTTGAAACAGAAAAAGAAATCCCTCCATTGCCATCCAACCCAACTATGGTTCAAATTAAGAATCATAGCAAAGAAAAAGCCAAAAAATTCAAAGCAAAAACCTGCCTTCATTCTTCTGTTTCGGATATAATTTTCACAAGTATTATGACTTGTGAAACAGCAAACACAGGAGATATGAGACTCATTAAAAAATGAGTATCAAAGGGCAACGAGCAGACGAAATTGATGCAAGTTCTGAATCTTAAAAGAGAATTTGAGATGCAAAGATGAAAACATGTGGAGGTGTCAAAGAATATGTTAACAATCTCATGTCCATTGTTAACAAAATTAGATTACTTGGTGAAGAATTTCCTGAAAGAAGGGTGGTTGCAAAAATTCTAATAAATCTACCCGAAAAGTTTGAGTCCAAAATTTCTTCTCTTGAAGACACAAAAAATCTTTTTGAAATTTCCGTTGGTGAACTAACTAATGCACTACAAGCTGTGGAGCAACGAAGAGCATTCAGAGAAGATAATACTATAGAGGCTGCTTTAGTTGCCAAGACCTTTACGTTTTGCCAAGACAACGAACAAATTTTTATCAAAAAGAGGAAAATTTCCACCATGTGGCATATGCAAGAAAGATAATCATGATGAAAATGATTGTTGGCATAAAGCTAAACATCAATGTTTTAATTGTAAGAAATTTGGTCATATTCAAAAAGATTGCCGGTATAAAAATCAATCAAATTTTGTGCAAGAGGAAGGAACTCTTCTTTGAGTATTGGAGAGATGTGCTCCAAGAGAACATTGGAGAGATGGGCTCCAAAATAAAAGAAAGTGATGAGAAGTGCATCAAAATGATGAGTTGGAGAGAGGTGCTTCAACAAAGTTAATTAAAGAGAGGTGTTTCAAATGCTAGATTAAAAATTTTTAATTGTTAATTATTGTTATAAAAAATATTATGTTTGAATTAAGAGAGAATGTTAGGATTAATTCAAAATAATATTATTAAAAATATTTTGAGATTTCAATTTTATAATATTTTGAGATTTCAATTTTATTTAGTGTAGATTTTCTGCATAGAATTTGATGTTTTTGTTATTAGGATTAATGATTTTTAGGAGTATTTTTGGATCTTATTTGATTCACTTATAAGCCTATAAATAGGCATATCTTTTTATTAATTCAATGAATTGCAAAACATTGTTAATCATCTTGTGTATTTCATTGTTCCTTCCCTAAAAATCTCAACAGATTTTGCATATGCAATTCTTGTTGATTTAGGGATTCCTATTCAATCCATGTCATGTCCAATATGTTTTTATTTCTAAGCCATGAATTATGTATGTAAAAGATTGGGTTGAGTAAAAAAATTATTAACTCGTTTATCTATTATGGATATTTTAACTCAATAAACTCGATTTAAACTTGATCATGTGCAACCCAAATAAATACACTAATTTATACATTCAAATGGATTGCATCTCTACGAATTTAAACTCTGAGGTAGGAATTTAAAATTTAGGCCCTTCTACCGGGAGGACTTTAGAAAATTCTAAATATAAATATATGGTGATACAAAATATTTTTCTTTATATTAATATAGTTTAATATAGTTTGACAACATAATAGTTACACTTAATAACATTAAGATTTCATGAAATTTTTGTTGATCCGTTCCTGCCCTTCTCCTATTAATAACAATAATAACAACATTAACAACATAATTTGTAATTTCATGCATAACCTGGCACACAAGTTTTCTTCTTGCCGGCTCCAACTGCCCTTCCCAGACCCTGTAGTAATCAGCCACCTCCAAGTTCACCAAATATTTCCCAGACCCTATATTAATCAACCACCTCCAAGTTCACCAAATATATTAAACAGCTATCTGCTTTGACAACACATACCAATTAATTATATTAAATCTCATTAATCAGTGATTGACAACAAATGACATTAAAATTTCAAATTTCTTACTATTGTTTCTTGCGAGAAAGGGACTTCGTGTGAAGCGGGCACAAATTACTTGCCTACTTGGTCAACTCTTTCCCTTACGTAAGACCTTTCTCTGATATCAATATCATCTTCTTTGCATAACTTATCTACATAAATACATTATACATGTCTAAGTTTCTTTAGATTGTGTATTTGGAATCTGTCCAAGAAAGATGCTGGCTTTCTGGTTTGTGATATGGCTTTCTGGTTTGTGATATTGCCATTAATATCCCAAACGACAACAGCTACAGATGTAATTTCTGGTTGTCCTGACACATGTGGCACTGTTCATGTTCCATACCCATTTGGAATCAACTTCACTTCTGGAATCTCTAATCCCAACTGTGCACTGAACAGCTTTTTCATGTTTAATTGCATTGTAAGTTACGATCCTCCACGTCTATTTTTTGGCCAAAACATGCCTATTCACAATATATCAGTAGAAGAGGGAACGATCTCCGTTCGAATTGACTCGGCATTTAAATGACACAGCGAGACAGGGTTGACCCTTGAGTTTGATCAAAATATTGGTCTGGGAAATGGCCCGTTTCGGTTCTCCGATACTCGAAACAAGCTCACAGCTATTGGGTGTGATACTTTAGCCCTTATGAGAGATGCTGTAGAGACTTTTGGCAGATGTTACTCTACATGGTTCTTGCTCAGGTTTTGGATGCTGTCAAACATCGGTGCCACAAAGTCTTCAAACACTGAGAATTAAACTTGCAAGTCCGAGTAATCATAGCAGCGTTTGGCGGTTTAATCCGTGTGAATTCGCATTTCTAGCGGATGAAAGGACTTTCGATGTTTCAAAGCTGCAGCTCTCTGCTCTTCCAAGTTCGCCGGTCACAAAACAGTTTATTTCTTCTGATGTTGTTCTTGAATGGGTAGTAAGAGAGGAGAGTTGTGAGGCTGCACAATCGAGATCAAATTCCAATATATATGCTTGTGGCAGTAATAGTAATTGTACATACTCTGAAAATGGCAAAGGATATCGGTGCATATGCAAAGATGGATTTACAGGAAATCCTTATCTTCCACAAGGTTGCCAAGGTAATAATTAGTCAAGCAAATCATCCTCATTTTTTCTTGTACCAAGGTAATAATTAAGTCAAGCAAATCCATCCTCATTTTTTTCTCTGTATTTGAATTTTCATTTTCATTTCTTCTCTAATTAATTACTTCATATACTATATAACAGACATTGATGAGTGCAAAGAACCACATGATGGAATGCGCGGTGAGGGTAAATTGGTTGATCACAGGATCTTCGCATTACAAACGTCATTCGCTGCAAAGTACTCAATACTCAATCTCAACTCAATCGCTCTTGTTTTTCTTCTTTAATCAAGTTTTTAACCAATCAGTAATATAACTGATCTTGATCAGACTGTTTTATATAGTTGTTGGAAGGGTTGATCCATTATGATTATCGCCTTACTGCATCATCATTTATACAAGAGGCGAAGAAATACAGAAAATGAGAGGAAACCTTTTGAAAAAATGGAGGCTTGTATGTTGGAGCACAAAGTGGTAAGAATCTTCAGAGAAAGCGAGAAGAATCTTCACAGAAGCAGAATTAGTGAAGGCTACCAAAAATTATGATCCAAGTCTACTTCTTGGCGAAGGAGGTTTTGGATATGTATACAAAGGAGTTTTGGCAGATAACACCCAAGTTGCAGTAAAGAAGCCTAAAGATAAAGACAAGACTCAAATAAATCAAGAATTTCAACAGGAACTTGGCATTGTTTCTCAAGTCAACCATAGAAATGTTGTCAAGGTATTAGGCCTTTGTTTGGAGACTAAAGTTCCTTTATTAGTTTATGAGTTCATTTCCAATGGAACCCTTTTCCAACATATTCATTACTCTGCCAATTGATCTTATAAAAATAACAAACATCAGCAGAAAAAAGGAAGGTCTGTTCTCGTCCCAACTCATCATCCATCTCTTATGAAAACTTAATCCATTCATCTCATTCTCATTACAGTGTGTGTATTATATATAGATATATATATATATATATAGTTACATATTTATTATCCTTCCATGCACACAAAATTCAGATTCTTGGTAACAACAGCTTCTTTTCTTGATATCTTTCTGTTTCTGCTATATTTTTTGGAGCCTTTTCCTTGTATATCTTGTTTTCTTTTCTTTAAATACATGTTTTGGGTTTCACTACTACATCATAAATCCCTCATTTTGATCCTTCTTGAAACATTTTTGCAGTATCCATTGAATTTTCAGAAGAGCTGAGAGCTTTCTACAAAGCCAAAGACGACGAAGATCTCCATCCCCTTACTGGGATTTATGCTGCTATGCTATTTCTCAATAGCAACAACAAACGCAGAATCAAATTATTTGAAATATAAAGATCCAAAGCAGCCATTTAATACTCGAATAAGGGATCTTATGGGCAGAATGACTCTAGCAGAAAAGATAGGCCAAATGGTGCAATTGGATCGAGCCATTGCAACTCCTGATATACTGAAAAATTACTCTATTGGTAGTCTATTGAGCGGTGGAGGCAGTGTCCCAAAGCCTCAGGCTACTCCAGAGGATTGGATTGGAATGATTAATTGGTTCCAAAATGGTTCTTTGTCAAGCCGGCTTGGTATTCCTTTGATTTATGGGATTGATGCTGTTCATGGACACAATAATGTCTATAAAGCTACTGTGTTTCCACAATATAGGCCTGTTCATGGACACAATAATGTCTATAAAGCCACTGTGTTTCCCCACAATATAGGCCTTGGAGCCACAAGGTATACCTTTTTTTACATATATATATTAATGATCATTTTTTACATCCTGAAATTTGTCAACTTTTTGAATGGAAATAGGCTTTGAAAATATTATTGGAATCAAATATCAAACATCATAGAAATATGAAGGAGTGCATACCCTCGTTGGAAATCAGACATAGAAATAAATGCTCTTGCAATTGTACGAGCAGCGTGGTTCTGCTATCTCTTAACAAACACAAATGAAATTTGCTCGAATCGCACCGAGGAAAGACTTACCATTTGAAACCACTAAGCCAAAATAAGATAACTAGGGCTGTGCAAACAGGTGATTCGGATTGAAACTGAACCACAGAAAAAAAAGAACGAAAATAGTTTTTCTTTGAAACTGAAATATGCTCGGAACCGAACCAAACCGGTCACTTCGGTTCGGTACTCACTGATTCAGTCAAACGATTCGGTTTTATTCAGAGAATAAATGTTTATAATAACTGATCCAAAGACTGAAAATAACCGAACCAAAAATTGAAAATAATTTGGTTGGGTTCAGTTTTTAGTTTTTTCCAAAGTTTGCTCACCCCTATTGTCAGCCTTCAAAGCATTGATCAATACTTGACAATCTGATTCTATAATCACTGAAATTTGTCAACTATGCAATAACCATTTTAGATTAAAATGTAGATTTCATGCTAAGCATTGCTCCTACCATAAGATTATAATTTCTCTACTATGATAAGAACCTTATATCTAAAAATCTATTGCAGGGATCCTAATCTTGTGAAGAGGATTGGGGCTGCTCTATTGCAGGGATCCTAATCTTGTGAAGAGGATTGGGGCTGCAACTGCTCTTGAAGTTAGAGCAACAGGCATTAATTATGTTTTTGCTCCATGCATTGCGGTAACACAATCAAATCATCTTAGAGCCGGTTTTTTTGGTAAGAAAACAAAATACTTAACATTCCCAACTTATTATTGTGTAACTAGCATTTACATCCCTCTAGTTTGATAAAATAACTTTTAGGGCCCTAACTTACTGTGTATCTTAAATTATGAAGTTATTTATACATTTCATGCTAATTAAAATCAACTCTTATATGCTTTGTACACATAATAGGTCTGTAGAGATCCGAGATGGGCAAGGTGCTATGAGAGCTATGGTGAAGATCCTATGTTGGTTAGAGATATGACAGAAATTATATCTGGATTACAAGGTGATGCTCCTAAAAATGGTGTTCCTTATATATCTGGAAAGTAAGTTTAAGTTCATAGCCACTCCATTCAATTATACATTATCCTTTTGTTCATCAAAAACCACTCTTAATTTCCTTTAATCTTCTGTAATTTCTCTAATAGGGATAAGGTGGCAGCATGTGCAAAGCACTTTGTGGGTGATGGAGGCACGACCAGAGGCATTAATGAAAACAATACTGTGATTGATTATCGTGGGTTGATGAGAATTCATATGCCTGCTTATTTGCTCTCTGTTATAAAGGCGTTTCAACAATTATGGTTTCTTATTCAAGCTGGAATGGACAGAAGATGCATGCTAACCATGATCTTGTCACCAATTTGCTTAAGAACACTTTCAAGTTCAGGGTACTCAAAAATTTTCCTATTCTGGAAATTTTGTTTCTTGGCTATTCTTTCTATTTGATATTCACTTATCATTCTGAAAATTTTGTTGCTTAATCTAATCTTTCTATTTGACAATTGCAGGGTTTTGTCATATCTGATTGGCGCAGGGTTTTGTCATATCTGATTGGCAGGGTATTGATAAGATTACTTCAGCTTCTCATGCAAACTATACTTACTCAGTCCTGGAAGGAATTTCTGCTGGCATTGACCTGGTTATTGCTCAACTCTTTCCTCTTCTGAACTCATTCTTGAAAATCAACGAAAATGAAAATTAATATCTATATGTTCAAAAAAAATTTTTTCTTTTTCATTTACAGTTAGGGTATTCTTAGGCTAGCATCTATGACACTGAGACTAAATATTTCCTTTGCCAATTTCAGTTTATGGTTCCTTACAATTATACAGAGTTCATAGGTATACTGACTGACCTTGTCAACAAGAATGTCATTCCCATGAGCCGTATTGATGATGCTGTTAGGAGGATTTTAAGAGTAAAATTCACTCTAGGTCTGTTTGAAGATCCATGGGCTGATCAGAGCTTTACAGACCGCCTTGGAAGCCAGGTTTACTTGAAAGCCAGGTTAGTTTAATAAACTTAATGTTGAAACTTTATTTCTTTTTATGGATTATGAAACAATCTCACTAATTCATAGATAGGACTATAGAGATTTGGCGGGAAAAGCTGTGAGGAAGTCAGCTAGTTCTATTGAAGAATGTTCTATTGAAGAATGGAGAGAACGCAGATGCCCCATTGCTTCCTCTACCTAAAAATGCAGGCAGGATCCTTGTTGCTGGTACCCATGCCAGCAATCTGGGCTATCAGTGTGGTGGTTGGACTATCACTTGGCAAGGCGTTAATGGCAACAACTATACAGCCTGTAGATACTAAAACCCTTTTTCCGGCTTATACTTTGCTTTGCGTTGATATTAATTTCATCACCGCGAATATTTGAAATAAACGATTCATATAGCCGGCCTAAATAGTTTTGTACTAAGACTTAGTTGTTGATGTTGTATTGTAATGTAACAGGAACCACTATTCTAAGGTAATGTAACAGGAACCACTATTCTAAGTGGAATCTCAGCTGCTGTTGATCCAAGCACAGAAATAACCTACAGTGAAAATCCTGAAGCTGCTTTTGTCAAGGCCAACAACTTCTCCTACGCCATTGTTGTTATCGGAGAGCTTCCTTATGCAGAAACAAACGGAGACAATCTCAACCTGACAATAACAGAATCAGGTCCTTCTGTGATCAACAATGTCTGTGGCACCACTAAATGCGTTGTCGTTGTAATCTCCAGCCTCCCTTTGGTGATTGAGCCATACATGGCCCAAAGAGATGCTCTTGTTGCCGCTTGGCTTCCAGGAACTGAAGGACATGGAGTTGCTGATGTGCTTTTCGGAGACTATGGATTTAGTGGGAAGCTGTCTCGAACTTGGTTCAAGTCCGTAGATCAGCTGCCCATGAATTCTGGTGGGAAGCTGTTCGCAACTTGAGGTTCAAGTCGGCGTTTAGAATCAAGGCTGACACCCATATCTGGAATTCTGGTAGATGCACATTATGATCCTCTTTTTCGGCACCATTAGTTTTTGGTTCTCACTAATCAAGGTGCAAAATCTAAAAGCTAGTATTAGGGAAGATTTTTCTTAATTATTAGTTTAGATTTAGTAGCGATTGATTAACATCCACACGATAAGATTTTTATCACATAGGATTAGTGATGATGTTTAGGTGTTTTGTAATAAGAGATAGTATGTTTGTGTTTTAATGTTCTAATGATGCTGGCCATAGCAATTGAATTTTTGGTAGATGAATTGAGAACATAATAATAATAATAGTCTTATTTGTTCATAAAAATTTTTTGTTCTTCTCATCGGAGTCTCGAAATTTGGTAAATAAATGATAATAAATTTAGTTTTATTTTGATCAATTAAAACTGGATTTTATTTTATCTATATAATCTAATTAAACCTGGATTTTTATTTTAATATATATAACAAAATTAGCTTTAAACATATTTATGAATAATAAAAATTATTTTTCTAAATTTTTGTAATGGCTATTGGAATTTTGTTATGAAATTTTAGAGTAGGCATTGTCATAGATAGATAATAAAAGGAATATCTCCTTTATTCCTTTAGGGAGAGAATGTTTATAGGGGCAAATCCTTTTTTTTTTTTTTTTTTTTTTTTTTTTTTGGAGAGCGCAAGCTTCTAGGCTTAGAGTATGAGACTGCAAAGTTTGTTTTTTTTTTTTTTTTTTTTTTTTTGTAAGCTCTAGCTAGAGTATGAGATGCAAAAGTTGCTTGTTGACGAACCCATTACACAGAAATATCAACACGAAAATCTAAATATGTCTACAATCAGAAAGCAAAACTTCGAACTCAGAATAATATCAAACAATAATTAAAACGTGGTTTGTAACGTTTTCATTTTCTAATAAAAGGCCAACTTTACCAACTTGGTATGCTAAGTCATTAAAAATACACACGTATGCTGCTTTACTATCCATAGAATATTTCTTTGTAACTTTTCATAATTGTAAGAGTAAATAAACCCAGGCATTTCGGATGAAGAAATTTGGCAGTTGTTTCATTTAGATGATTGTGCCTAGGATTGGAAGGTCCAACCATCAATTTCTAAGTTGGATTACTGAAGTAATTGAACTGAAGTGTAGATTTGAGAAGAGCAAGAACGAAAGGGAAATAAGGGAACCTGGATCGTCAGCTGTGAGCTAGAGAGAGAGGTGGAAATTGATATACCAGAAAGAGATAGGTCAAGATTCTCCCACCATACGACGGATCCAATGTTTTCTGCAAATCTTCCGATTTGGCAGTTGTTTCATTTAGATGATTGTGCCTAGGATTGGAAGGTCCAACCATCAATTTCTAAGTTGGATTACTGAAGTAATTGAAGAGCAAGAACGAAAGAGAGAAATAAAGGGAACCTGGTCGCGCTTGCTGAGGTGGATGAAACCAGAAGATCGGTCAAGATCTCCACCATAGACGGATCCATGTTTCTGCAAATCTTCCCACTCCTTAGCTGTACTAATCCTGTAAACGTAGTCTTCGCCTTCACTCCCACTCGCTTCCTCCTTCGCAGCCATCATCAAGCGCGGCTGGCCACTTGAACAAACAAAAGTTAATCAGAACTCAGACGCACGGATTAACAAAAAAATCCACGCGTCAAACCAGAAATGGGCTTATTCGAACTTAACAAGGCCGGGCCACTTGTCAAAGTAATGGTTGGGCTTTCATAGAAGAAATCAATCGAAGTTAATAGTGTGAGCCCAATAAATCTTTTGCAGGCTCATTAAAACAAACTCAGGCCCAAATTTCTGGACCCGTTGTGAAATTTCGCCCAATTATCTTCGCCCATTAATAAATTTAGGCCGAATAATTTGGGCAGCGGAGGCCCACTTCTGAAATTAAGCCTATATGCTGGGCTCAATACAATTTTCCAGGCCCAAATTTATGGCCCATCTACGGAAACCAGGCCCATTTTGTTGTTCCCACTTCGGCTACGCAGACCCATTTAAGGCCCAATATATTGGGCCCATTGTATATTTCCAGCCCAAATTTTCGGCCCATTTACATGACCATTTTGTTGACCCACTTTGGGCCACTCAGGCCCATTTAAGGCCCAATATTTTGGGCCCATTATAAAATTTCAGGCCCAAATGTTTCGGCCCATTTATGAAATCCAGGCCCAATACCCGTTTATTAAAATTGAGCCCAATTTTTTGGCCCATTGTAAATTCAAACCCAGTTTATTGGGCTTAAATCTACCAACACAACTTGGTATGCTGCTTTACTATCCATAGAATATTTCTTTGTAACTTTTCATAATTAAATCTACCAATAGTACTAGTGAATGAATATAAGTTTTGGTTGTGTTGTTTGTTTCTATTTTACGATTGGTGCTTGACTATGTCAAAACGCAGCACAATAGTTAGCTATCAATGCATCTTTCAACTTGTGCTATCAATGCAATCTTTCAACTTGTAAAAAACATTAAGTATCATCCGTTTTGGTTGTGTTGTTTGTTTCTATTTTACGATTGGTGCTTGACTATGTCAAAACGCAGCACAATAGTTAGCTATCAATGCATCTTTCAACTTGTAAAAAACATTAAGTATCAATCGTAGAATTTAATGTGTGATAGTGTAGAATTTAATGCTCAGCAATAATTTAATGTGTGATAGTGAAAAATGAAAAAGCCAAAGAACAATAAAACTAATCTTTGATATTCACTTATCATTCTGAAAATTACAAAACTTCCTGGATAATAGATGGAGGGATAGAACTCCACCAGACATAGAACTAGTTGCTCGAGCTAGCATATGAAGACATTAATTTGCTTATTGTTTAAACAAAATTAAAGGACAAAGAAGGAAAATCACTAGAGAAGGATTTGCAACCTTGAAGCAAAGAACCAAAATAAGAAAAATCATAGAAATTGAACTAGTATTTCCTCTTATATATAATTATCGAGATCGTCAGCATATTTTTTTTGGCTTTTTTATTGGAGAATATATCAAAGTTTTATTATAAACAATTCAAATAAATTACCAATAATTTCAATATAATACTTTTCTCAACAACAATTTACTTGATGTTAATAAATTAGATTTATGTTCAAATTTTTTAAAATATATATATATTTTTTATGTATATATTATGAAAGTTACTATGATCGAGAGCCAAAAATTCACATATAGAGTAATAGCTAACCCAAGTTGATGTGTCATTACTAAAACCAACCTAAATTATTAAATCTTTAATTTTCATCACCATTTTGGATAGATTATAATTAATATCATCAAAAATTAATAAAAAATATTTGGATCTATGATTTATTTTTTTTTATTCATTAAAAATACACACATACTAGTACTAGTGAATGAATATAAGTTTCGGTTGTGTTGTTTGTTTCTATTTTACTATTGGTGCTTGACTATGTCCAAACGTAGCACAATAGTTAGCTATCAATGCATCTTTCAACTTGTAGAAAACATTAAGTATCAATCCGTATATTAATGTAGAATTTAATGTGTGATAGTGTAGAATTTAATGCTCAGCCACAATTTTTATGGACCGCCTAATTCGACTCAATGTTAGACCTTTTTACTTTTCCCTGCAAGTGTATAGTGGGAATCGAACACTCGACCACAACCTGTAGGTCTTACTTTTATTATTTAAAAGTCTTTTTTATAAGAATAAAGTGTTCTCAGCCAGTATTTGCTCCATCCATGAGGATCGAAGATCGAACACTCGATCTCACCTAAGGGAAAAAAAAGTATCAAACTACTCATCTAAACACTCATTAGTATAAAATGTAATTTTTAAATCAGTTATGACTAAAGCTATTTTAAAATATTCTAAATTTCATTGAGGGCGATATCGAAAATCTCATTATTCCCCTCTATTCCCACATTTACATATGGTATAGATTGTGTTCATTAGTATAACATTTGTACTAGTATTTAGACTTTGATTGCTCCCATAACACTTTACAATTACTAAAATAATTAATTTTTATCAAACATAACCTAAGTTTTGCATTGACTACAAGTCTTCTCTTGATATTAAGATGAACTTCAACCTCACGCGTTCTGTCTAAGAACTTGTAATTAATATTCCACTGATAGTATTTGACTTACTCACCTTCATTTTTATTTGGAAGTTAGAAGCTCTAAATTACCTAAACTGTTGGCGAGCTGCTTGAAAATAAGAAATTCAATCTTAAAGAAAGTTCATTTGAGTTCATTCAACAAACTTAACAAGATGAGTTTGATCCTTTCAAGCCCATTTAATTAATAAACCAAGTTCAAACTTGAATTCGAGCAATTCAAACTTTAAACCAATGATGAAAGTTTGATCCTTTAGTCATTTAATTAAATAAATGCAAGTTCAACTGAATTCGAGCTTTAAAGAAGGCAAAATGATCACGTAATTTGATATTTTGATTACTGAGATTCGAGCTTTAAAGAAGGCAAAATGATACGTAATTTGGATATTTTATTCACTGAGTAGAAATTATAAGGGGCAGTTCAGATCTTTCTTACACAATAGACGCCAAATGGAGCTCTTTTCGAATGGAGGGAATCATAATCATATAAAGACATAAGTTAGGGCCCTGAAAGTTATTTTATCAAATTAGAGGGATGTAAATGTTAGTTACACAATAATAAGTTGGGAATGTTAATGTATTTTTTATCGAAAACTAACATTTTATTGTTCTGTTTAAAGATGATATTTAATAAAAAAATATAAATCTTCGTAATAATAATTAATTATTTATCTGATTTGGACGTCAAAATAACTTTTATGGGGTTTTCTATACCTAAATTGCCTTTCAAGAATTTGATACATATGATGTGTATGGACGAGTTTCCACAACTATGGGTCAATAATTTAGTAACGTGTTGCACTATCAACCTTCATTTGTAGAAAATCCATATCTATCTCTAACTAAATAAAATCAAATATCATACAATCTAAATTCTCATTAGAGAAAGACAAAAAATATCTAAATCAATGAAATATCTATCTTGAGACAAATAATAACAGCACGCAAAAAAAATAAAGAAAAAAAAAGATGGAAATACACATATTTAAGTTCATCAACAAGACAGCTCCAATCTAAAATTAGAATTAAATGATGACAGGCTTTTTGCGCAAGTGTACGAAATTGCACAAGTAATAGAAGTGAGTAGCGTATCGTCCCATAAAAATTGTATACCAAGTATTAAAATTGTGTTAACCTATTATTATTTAAACGACAATAAATAACGAGAATAAAGAAGACAATAAAGAGAATGTATTTGAAAATAAAAGAATTAAAGTAAAAACAATAAGAATGAGATCAAGCAAGAATTTGTTGAAAAGAAATCAAGGTTTGAAAATTATTAAGGATTTTGACTTCACTTAGTTCTATCCATTTTATCCTATTAGTTTGATAATCAATTTTAATTATTCAAGAAGAAATAACCCTAAAATCGCTAAAAAGCTCTCTCGATGAATTAGCTATTTTAACCCAATTCAATTATCCATCTCTCAATGACGCAACCAAACATAGATTAAATCATTAAGTTCTTGTGATTATTGAGGAATCCACAAATTAAAGCCTTTAATTTTATGAAAACCTACCACGAGTCAAACCATCTAGCTCTCGCATCAAATTGTTATTCCTATGAAATTTGTTACCCTGTTCATATAAAAAATCATTCTCTCGACAATGATTAATGAAATAAATCAATCAAAGGGAGAAACTCCGCCTGTAAGCATTAAAATCAATAATAAATTTTAATTGAATAAAGAAAATCAAATCTAATATTATAAACTGGAATTGAAGTCAAGCTACATCATATACCTAGTAAAAAGATTTAGTTCGACATAAAAGATTTAGTTTCGAACATAGTAAATAAATTTAAACTCCATTAAACTTGTAATAATCCAAACTCAATTAAACTTGTAAATAATCCCACAATGAATAATAAATAAAAAGGGAGTTTAGAAATAAAAACTAGTCAACGATTGGCTTGAGCAGCTTCCTTAAATCTTGACACCAATCTTGAGCACTTGAAGTCTTAAAAAAAGAGAAAACTATGCAGAGAACAATAGAATTAGAGACGAAATATATAATGAATATCTCCCAGATTATGGCTAGTCTCTCTCTTTATATAGACTTTATGAAATATCTTCGAATTCGTTTGGGGAAGTGAATCTCTATTGAAGAAGAAATCTTTTAGAGATAGAAAACTATTTATACTTTGTATTTCTTTTCAATTAGGACTCTCTCAGCGTCTAAATAAGACTCTAGCTTTAATAAGGCATGTCCCACAATATCTTCATGCAGATCCATACAAGCAGCACGAGCTTAGTTTGGTAAATAAAAATAATAAATATGTTTTATTTTGAATCAATTAAACTGGATTTTATTTTAATATATATAAGAAAATTAGCTTTAACATTTTTATGAATAATAAAATATTTTTTTACTATTTTTGTAATGCTGTTGGAATTTAGTTATGATTTTAGGTAAGTCTTTGCTATTAGAAATGACATCATAATTTCCATTTAAAAATTAAAAAAGAAAAAACTCATTAATTTCTGATTAACACATGATAAAGACTTATAATAACCGGTCAATTTACATATACTAATACTAATATCCATATCAGTGAATAGTCAATAAAACTAATCAGGTGTGGTCTGATTGTTCTTCTTATCTTTTGTAGAAGATATAAGAAGTTGGGGCTCTCTCCGCCATAAAGATTATCGTAAATTTGATGAATTTTACATATATATTTATGAAAAAATGATGAATTTTCTCAACAATAAAAAAAATGTATCCATGATTTTTAAAGTTTAAAAAATATTTGGATCTATGATTTTTTTTTTATTATTCATTAAAAATACACACATACTAGTACTAGTGAATGAATACAAGTTTTGGTTGTGTTGTTTGTTTCTATTTTACTATTGGTGCTTGACTATGTCAAAACGTAGCACAATAGTTAGCTATCAATGCATCTTTCAACCGTATACAGATGTAGAACTTAATGTGTGGTAGTGTAGAATTTAATGCTCAGCAACAATTTTACGGGGACAGCCTAATTCAGCTCTAGATTTAGTCACAATAAGGCATCTTCACTCTTCTCTATAAGTGTATTTAGTGGAGATTGAATCCGAGAGCTCTTCCCACGTGTCCAGTCTGCGGTGCCAATTGAGCTATCACTTGATATTATAAATATATTTTTTTGAATTATTTTTATATTAACCATCACTCGATATTATAAATATATTTCCCAAAATTCCATTGAATTTTCAATTTTGAAAATTTAATAATATTTAAAAATATTTCAATAATTTGATTGGTGAATATAAGTCAGTCTTGCATCTCAACATCAACAGGTACAATGACTGAAGCTGGCAAGCAGGCAGAAATTTACTTGGTCAACTCTTCTTCTTATTTTCCACATACATAGCTAAGACCTTTCCACCTTTCCTTTAAATTTCTTTAGATTGTGTAATTGAGAAATCTGACAAAGCAAAGATGTTACCTTCCACATACATAGCTAAGACCTTTCCACCTTTCCTTTAAATTTCTTTAGATTGTGTAATTGAGAAATCTGACAAAGCAAAGATGTTACCTTTCTGGTTTGTGATATTCACATTCATCTCCCAACCCGCAACATCTATAGATGTAATTTCTTCTAGTTGTCATGAAAAATGTGGGGACGTTCTTGTTCCATACCCATTTGGAATCATCTTCACATCTGAAATTTCTAATCCCGACAATTGTGCGCTAAACAAGCATTTTATCTTAACTTGCAATGTAAGTGATGATCCTCCGAGTCTATTTTTTGGGGAAAACATGCCTATTCACAATATATCAATAGAAGAAGGAACCATCTCCGTCCGAATTGATTCAGCATCCAATTGCTACAACGAGACAGGAATAACGGACTATTTTAGTCAACATATTACAATGCGAAGCGGCCGGCCAGTTCGGTTCTCTGATACTCGGAACAAGTTCACAGTAGTTGGTTGCGATACTTTAGCCTATATGGAAGATGACGAAGAGACTTTTGGTAGCGGCTGTATTTCGTTGTGTGACAGTAATGTTACTCTAGAAGGTCCTTGCTCAGGCCGTGGATGCTGCCAGACACCGCTACCGCGAAATCTTACAACACTAAACATTCAACTCTCAAGCCTTTATAATCATAGCAGGGTTTGGCAGTTTAATCATAGCAAGCGGTTTAGGCAGTTTAATCATGAATACCGTGTGAATTTGTCGTTTCTAGCCGAATGAAAGGAACTTTTAACTTTTTCGAATCTGGCAGTCCTTTCTTATCCATATTTCGCAGAGACTAAAAAGTATATTTGCATCTGTGTTGTGATTGAAATGGGCAAGTAAGAAGGAGACAAGTGAAGAGGGCGAAATCCGACTTCAAGAGAGATACACGATAAAAAACTATGCTTGTGAGACAAATACTGAATTGTGAAATACTACGAAAGAATAGATATCGGTGCAGACAAGAGAAGAGAGAGACTGTCTACGAGAAAAAGATCCTTAATACTCTACGACAGATCCAAGCGTAAGTGTAAAGTACACAGGAAGAGCAGTCATGCCTCGTCTTATTGTTCTTATGGCTTTTTTCATTTTTTCTTGGTTCTCTAATGAATCGCTCCATATCTATATAACAGACATTGATGAGTGCAAAGAACCAGACAGGTACAAGTGCGATGGTACTTGCAAGAATACAGATGGGAACTACACATGCAGTTGCCCACTTGGGATGCGTGGTGATGGTAAAGTTGGCTGTCAAGGATTTCGCATTACGACTATTGCTGCGAGTACTATCTCAAGTCATTATCCTCTTGCTTTCCTTCTTTAATATTAATTAAGTTTTAACCATCAATATCTGATCTTTCATTTTGTTTAAATAGTTGTTGGAGGGGTTGCATCCATTATGGTTATCGCCTTACTGATCATCATTTTATACAAGAGGCGAAGAAATGAGAGGAATTTTTTGAAAAATGGCGGATTGTTGTTGAAGCACCAAAGGGTAAGAAGAATCTTCACAGAAGCAGAATTAGTGAAGGCTACCTAAAAATTATGATCAAAGTTTACTTCTTGGCGAAGGAGGTTTCGGATATGTTTATAAAGGAGTTTTAGCAGATAACACCCAAGTTGCAGTAAAGAAGCCTAAAGATAAAGACAAAACTCAAATAAATCAAGAATTTCAACAAGAACTTGGCATTGTTTCACAAGTTAACCATAGAAATGTTGTCAAGGTATTAGGCCTTTGTTTGGAGACTAACGTTCCTTTATTAGTTTACGAATTCATTTCCCATGGAACCCTTTCCCAGCATATCCATTACAACAGGTCTAAAATATTAGCCACATGGAAAAATCGTCTAAGAGTAGCAGCAGAGACTGCGCTTGCACTTGATTATTTGCATTCTTTAGCAGATCCCCCAATTACCCCAATTATCCATGGCGATGTCAAGTCATGTAATATACTCTTAGACGATACTTACACTGCTAAAGTATCTGATTTTGGAGCTTCAGTACTAATTTCTACAGGTCAATCTGATATGGCCACAAGAATACAAGGGACTATTGGATATTTAGATCCAGAGTATCTTATGACAGGTAATTTAACTGAAAAGAGCGATGTCTATAGCTTTGGAGTGGTTCTTGTTGAACTATTAACAGGGGAGAAACCAAATTCTAGCGCAAGATCTGGCGAAAAGAGTAACATCATTCAATATTTTCTCTCATCTCTAGAAAATAATGAGCTATCTAGGATACTTTGTTTTGATGTAGCTAGTGAGACTGAAATGGAAGAGATTGAAGTTTTTGCAGAGCTTGCAAAACAATGCGTACGAGTTTTGCATGAGCTTGCAAAACGAATGCCGTACGAGTTAGTGGCATGAAAAGGGCCCAACTAGAAACAGTTTCAAAAGAGCTTGGCAGAATTGGGAAATTTCAATGAAGATCAGGGGATTACATCAAAATAGTGAAGAGACTGAGACATTTGTTAAGGTCAATCTATATTACGTTCCATTGGACATTGGAACTGCAAAAGTTGAACCAACAAGAATCCTTAGCCCTGAGCAACGTTCGATGTCGAGTACTCTTAACCGGTAGCATTTTGAAGCCATCACCAATCATCCAAGGAGCAATAATGAAAGTAATGTTTGAGTTGTCAAAGGGTGTTTATGTCCTTATCCTAGGAATGTTGTCTCAATAGGGAAAAAAAAAAGAAAGTCACTTTTAAGATTTGGCCATAAGTTCAAATACTTGTAAAATAATCATAATTTGGTAAAAACTTTGAAAAGTTCATTATTGTTAAGGTTATGGCATTTTTTCCCCTTAATTTGCAATTTTTCAATTTTTCCCCTTAAATAAAGACAGTTTTCTGTTTTTAATAAAAACGTTTTTTTACAAAATAAAAACTAAGAAGAACAGAATATGAAAATTATGTTCACCTTGATAATATAAAAATTATATTTTAATTTAACTTAACAAATAATTATTGGATCATCTTTCATAAGTTAAAAGTAATAAAATATTATAAAAATAAATTAGAAATTTGGTAATGTAAAAGTTTATTTGAATTTTTAACTATTGATTATTTATGAGTTAATAATATCATTTATCATCTTTTGTAAATTTTAAAAATTAAAAGCGATATAATATATTAATTATAAATTAATTATTTATTAACAGCATAATATAAATTTATTTTACTTAAATAAGTTTTATTTTTTTCAAATTAAAAAGTATTTTTATACAGAAAAAATTACTTTATAGATATTTATTTAATTTATTAATTATGAAAATGTCATTTTAAAAAAAAGTGGAAAGCACGGCTCCGGAGTAGGACTAATTACAAGACTTCTTAGACCAAAGGGGTATACCTTTGAATTTTTGGCACGGAAGCTTCGGCATAATATGACCCGAGCAAGATTTCAATGCTTCGTACAGGTCAATAAATGAAATATTATAGTCTCAAAATATCGTGCTAAACAATAAAAAGACAGATATTAGGTCAAAATTGTCAAACTCTTTCAGAGTGACACTGATTTTAGGGATCAATTTATGTTGCATATGTAATTCTTAATGAGGCATCAAGCAGGAGAGATAAGCATGTCTGACAGAGCACAAGACTCTAGAATATCACTTAGAAGACCTAATAAGAGCTAGCCATAAGATGTACAAAAGATATCGGCTCCTGAGCAAGACTTATTACAGGGCTTCTTAGACCAAAAGGGTATATCTTTTAATTTTTGGGCGGAAGATTCAGTATGAAATGAAAGATATCGGCTCCTGAGCAAGACTTATTACAGGGCTTCTTAGACCAAAAGGGTATATCTTTTAATTTTTGGGCGGAAGATTCAGTATGAAATGGCCCGAGAAAGCTTTTAATGTTTCCTACAGGTCAATAGACGAAGTATTATAGTCTCAAAATGTCATGCCAAGCAACAGACAGAGAGATATTGATTCAAAATTATCGAATGCTTACGAAGTGGCAGGAATTTTGGGGATGAACATATACTGCGTATGCAATTCTCAATGAGGTATCGAGCAGACAAGAAAAGTATGTCCTACTGACTGTAAGACCCCACACTGTCACCTAGAAGACCCAATATGAGTTGTCCGTTAGACGTACAAAAGATATCGGCTCCGGAGCATGACTAGTTACAAGACTTCTAAGACCAAATGGGTATACTTTCAGATTTTTAGGCCTAGAAGCTCCAGTATGAAATGGCCCAAGTATGATGTCAATGCTTCCTAAAAGTCAGTAAATGAAGTATTATAGTCTTAAAATGTCATGTCAAGCAATAGAAAGAGAGATATTGGTTCAAAACTGTTGATTGCTTCTAGAGTGGCACAGATTTTAGGGGTGAATTTAAATTGCATATGCAATTCTTAATGAGGCATTGAGCAAGCGAGAAAAGCATGTTCAAATGACTACAAGAATCCATATTATCACCTAGAAGCCCTTATACGAGAAGTCCATAAGACGTGCAAAAGGTATCGGCTCTGAAGTAGGACTAGTTATAGGGCTTCTTAAACCAAATAAGTATACCTTTGGATTTTTTGCCCGGAAGCTCCAGTATAAAATTGTTCAAGGAAGATTTAATGCTTCGTACATGTCAATAGATGAAATATTGTGGTATCAAAGTGTCATGCCAAGCAACAGATAGAGAGATATTCGGTCAAAATTGTCAAACGATTCTAGAGTGGCACGGATTTTGGGGATCAATTTATGTTGCGTATGCAATTCTTAATGAGGCATCAAGCAGGCGAGATAAGCATGTCCGAATGAGCACAAGACCCCATACCATCTCCTAGAAGACCCTATACAAGCTGCCCATATTGGTGCCGGAATTGAGCATCAAGATTTATGTTGCGTATGCAATTCTTAATGAGGCATCAAGCAGGCGAGATAAGCATGTCCGAATGAGCACAAGACCCCATACCATCTCCTAGAAGACCCTATACAAGCTGCCCATCAGACGTACATAAGATATCAGCTTCGGAGCAGGACTTTTTAGACTAAAGGGGTATAACTTTGGATTTTTTGGCCCGAAAGCTTCTGCATGAAATTGCCCAATCATGATTTCAATGATTCCTATACGTCAATAGACAAAGTATTATAGTCTCAAAATGTCGTGCTAATCAACAAACGGAGAGATATTGGGTCAAAATTGTTGAATGCTTTCGGAGTGGCACAAATTTCGGGGATGAATTTATATTGCTTGTGCAATTCTTAATGAGGCTCGAGTAGGCAAGAAAAGCATGTCCACCTTCCTCAAGACCCTATACTATCACCTATAAAACCCTATATGAGCTGCTTGTCAGACATGTAGAAGATATTGGCTCCAGAGTAGGACTAGTTACAGGACTTCTTAAACCAAAGGGGTATACCTTTGGATTTTTCGCTAAAAACTCCAGCATGGAATGGTCTGAATAAGATTTCAATGCTTTCTACAGGTCAATAGACGAAATATTATAGTCTCAAAATGTCGTGCCACGCAATCTACAAAGAGATTTTAGGTTAAAACTGTCAAATGCTTTCGGAGTGGCATAGATTTTGGAGATCAATTTATATTGCATATGCAATTTTTAATGAGACATGAAGCATGTGAGATAAGCATGTCCGGCTAAGCACAAGACTCATAATATCACTCAAAAGATCCTATACAAGCTGGTTATAAGACGTACAGAAGATATCTGCTCTTGAACAAGACTTGTTACAAGGCTTCTTAAACCAAAGGGGTATACCTTTAGATATTTTGGCCGGAAGCTCCGGTATGAAATGGCCTAAGCAGGATTTCAATGCTTCCTACAAGTTAATAGACAAATTATTATAATTTCAAAATGTCGTGCCAAGCAATAGACAGAAAAATATTTGATCAAAATTGTTGAATGCTTTCAGAGTGATACAGATTTTGCATATGCAATTCTTGTTGATTTAGGGATTCTTATTCAATCCATGTCATGTCCAACATGTTTTTATTTCTAAACCATGAATTATGTATGTAAAAAGATTGGGTTGAGTAAAAAAATTATTAACTCGTTTATCCATCATGGATATTTTAACTCAATAAACTCGATTTAATCTTGATCATGTGCAACCCATATAAATACACTAATTTATACATTCAAATGGATTGCATCTCTAAGAATTTAAACTCTGAGGTAGGACTTTAAAATTTAGGCCCTTCTATGGGGAGGACTTTAGAAAATTCTAAATATAAATATATGGTGATACAAAATATTTTTCTTTATATTAATATAGTTTGACAACATAATAGTTACACTTAATAACATTAAGATTTCATGAAATTTTTGTTGATCCGTTCCTGCCCGTCTCCTATTAATAACAATAATAGCAACATTAACAACATAATTTATAATTTCATGCATAACCTGGCAAACAAGTTTTCTTCTTGCCGGCTCCAACTGCCCTTCCCAGACCCTATAGTAATCAACCACCTCCAAGTTCACCAAATATATTAAACAGCCATCTGCTTTGACAACACATACCAATTATTTAAATCAGCCATCTGCTTTGACCAACACCACCTTACCAATTAATTTATTGATTTAACCTCATTAATCAGTAAAATCTCATTAATCAGTAATTAACAACAAATACATTGAAATTTCAAATTTCTTACTATTTTTTCTTGCAAGAAAGGGACTCCGTACGAAGCTGGCACAAATTACTTGCCTACTTGGTCAACTCTTTCCCTTACCTAAGACCTTTTTTCTGATATCAATATCATCTTCTTTGCATAACTCATCTGTATAAATACATTATACATGTCCAAGTTTCTTTAGATTGTGTATTTGAAATCTGTCCAAGAAGGATGTTGGCTTTCTGGTTTGTGATATTGCCATTAATTTCTGGTTGTCCTGACACATGTGGCACTGTTCATGTTCCATACCCATTTGGAATCAACTTCACTTCTGGAATCTCTAATCCCAACTGCGCACTGAACAGCTTTTTCATGTTTACTTGCAATGTAACCAATGTAAGTTACGATCCTCCACGTCTATTTTTTGGCCGAAACATGCCTATTCACAAAATATATCAGTTAGAAGGAAAGGAAACGATCCCCGTCTCGAATGACTCGGGCATCTAAATGCTACAACAAGACAGGGTTTTGACCCTTAAGTTTGATCAAAAATTTAGGAACTTGGGAATATTTGGCCCCGTTTCGGTTCTGCCGATACTCGAAACAAGCCTCACAGCTTGTTGGATGTGATTACTTACCCTTATGAGGAGATGCTGCAGATGACTATTTTGGGCAGCGGGGTTGTGTTGTCGTTGGTGTGACAAGAATTGTTACTTCTACAAGGTTCATTTGCTCAGGTTTTTGGATGCTGTTCAAACATGCTCAGGTTTTGGATGCTGTCAAACATCGGTGCCACAAAGTCTTAAAACACTGAGAATTAATCTTGCAAGTCCGAGTAATCACAGCAGCGTTTGGCGGTTTAATCCGTGTGAATTCGCATTTCTAGCTGATGAAAGGACTTTCGATGTTTCAAAGCTGCAACTCTCTGCTCTTCCACGTTCACCAGTCACAAGACAGTTTGCTTCTTCTGATGTTGTTCTTGAATGGGTAGTAAGAGAGGAGAGTTGTAAGGCTGCACAATCGAGCTCAAACTCAAATAAATATGCTTGTGGTCAAATAAATATGCTTGTGGCAGTAATAGTAATTGTACATACTCTGAAAATGGCAAGGGATATCGGTGCATATGCAAAGACGGATTTACAGGAAATCCTTATCTTCCACAAGGTTGCCAAGGTAATAATTAGTTAAGCAAATCATCCTCATTTTTTCTTGTACTTTGACTTTTCATTTTCATTGGTTTTCATTTCTTCTCTAATTAATTACTTCATATCTATATAACAGACATTGATGAGTGCAAAGAACCAGACAAGTACAAATGCGATGGAAGTTGCAAGAATACAATTGGGAGCTACAAATGCAGTTGCCCATTTGGAATGCGCGGTGATGGTAAAGTTGGTTGTCAAGGATTTCGCATTACAACTATTGCTGCAGGTACTAATACTATATCAACTCAATCCTCTTGTTTTTCTTCTTTAATCAAGTTTTTTAACCATCAGTAATTAACTGATCTTTCGACTTTTTTATAGTTGTTGGAGGGGTTGCATCCATTATGATTATCGCCTTACTGATCATCATTTTATCGATTGCATCCGCCTTACTGGATCATCATTTTATAACAAAGAGGCGAAAGAAATGAGAGGAATTGTTTGAAAAAATGGCGGCTTGTCTGATTGAAAGCACCAAAGGGTAAAGAATTCTTCACCAGAAGCAGAATTAGTGAAGGCTACCAAAAATTTATGATCAGTTCTATTTCTTGGGCGAAGGAGGTTTGGATAGTATACAAAGGGAGTTTTGTTTGGCAGGATAACACCCAAGTTGCAGTAAAGAAAGCCTAAAGATAAAGACAAGGGACTTTCAAATAAATCAAGAAATTTCAACAAAGAACTTGGCAATTGTTTCTCAAGTTCAACCCATTAAAGTTGTCAAGGTAATTAGGCCATTTGTTTGGAGGACTAAAGTTCCTTTATTAGTTAATGGAGTCACCCAATGAACCCTGTTTCCAACATTTATTTTCAATTACAACCAAGTTCTAAAAATATTAGAAAACAACTGGAAAAATCGTCTCAGAATAGCTTGCAAGAGACTTGCACTTGCACTTGTTAATTTTGCATTACTCTAGCAGATCCCCCCATATTATCCCATGGCGATGTCAAGGTCATCCAATATACTCTTAGACCGATACTTTACACTGCCAAAGTTCTTGACTTTGGAGCTTCCCAGTTTGCTTTAATTTCTCCGGGTTCAATCTGATATGGCTACCAGAATACAAGGGGACTATTGGATATTTAGATCCAGAGTTAATCTTATGACAGGAAATCTAACTGAAAAGAGCGATGTTTTATAGCTTTTGGAGTTGTTCTTGTTGAAGCTGTTTAACAGCGAGGAAAAACCAAAACCTAGCGGGAAGATCTGCGAGAAAAGAGTAATTATCGTTCCAATTATTTTCTCTTCGTCCCTAAGAAAATAATGAAGGCTATCTCAAACTCTTTCTTTTAATTGAGCCATGAAAGTGGAAATGGAAAGAGATTGAAGTTTTATTGCAGAAGCTTGCAAAAAGGAATGCCTACCGTGTTAGTCAGAAAAGGCCAACTATGAAACAAGTCTGAGGAGGCTTGGCCAGATTGAGAAATTACATGAAGAGTCATGGGATCATTATAAAAACAGTGCAAGAGACTCAAGATCTGTTAGGTGAATCAACTTACTTTCCATTTGACATGGGAAACTACCAAAGTTGAACAACAGGATGAACCAACATGAAACCCTTAGTATGACAACATTTGATGTCGAGTACTCTACAGATAGCATTTGAATATATTGGTTATAAATTTCTATAACGTTCTTTTTATTATTTGTATATTTGTAGACTCACTTACATAGAGAGGTTCCAATCATCCCAAGGACTGTTTCTAGGCCTAGTTGTAGCAGATTATGCATTGTATTACTGATTTGAGGCTTCGAAATATGATTTGAGTTTATTCATTTTGTGAATTGTGAAGAAGATGATGGGTTTTTTGAAGTACAGAAACATTTTTTTCCCAGGGAGATCACATCGATTGATAAAAGCTAGAGATTTCCATTTTTTTCCCAGGGAGATCACATCGATTGATAAAAGCTAGAGATTTCCACCAAGTTAACTGATTTGGCTAAAAAACTGAATTAAACCCATTAAAAACAGTTTTGATTTTATTCAATTTTTCAAATTGAATTGAAATTTGCATACTTTCATTGACGTTAAGCTTTGAATTGAAAACAGTACAAGTTTCATTCTTGAAGCTCCAAGGGCTTGAAGTATTTGCCATCTATAAGATAGGTTCCAATGCTGAGACGAACTGCCCACACATCCTTGGGCTTTCTCGACACAATTCTGGCCATGGCCATATACTTGAACAAATCAAAAATCAACCAAAAATCATATATGAAGATGGAAAAAGAGAGGAAGAAGAGAAGGGTTAGAAATGCACCTTCCAACGTCTCCAGGCTTTACTAACCCAGAATTAACCCTGAGACAAGGTACTGAAGTTGCGGTCTTTATCATTTTTGGAGCCTCAATAACAACAATAGGAGAGCCTATCTCAAGTTTTTTAAATTTTTCTGGTGATGATTCTTTGGATGTGAAAGAGGATGTCCAAATACAAAATATTCACTAATGCCTTCTTATGTAGTCAAATTCATATTATTATTTTACTTCTGCACTTGAAATAAGATATTATTATTTTATTTTTGTACTTGAAATAAGTATCTTTATGCACCCTTAATTTTTTTACAGCAAAATCAAAATATATGAAAAAAAAATTATAAAAAATAACTTTTTTAAGCAAAACAAAAAAGGGTGTATAGATTCTTAATTCTTACGTCAAAATCGAATTTTATAAACCCTTGTTACATTGGTGAATCATAGTAAATTGTTATTGAAAATATTTCTAGCATATAAATATAAAGAAATACATCTCGTTACATTATAAATATAACGAAATACATCTCGTTACATTATATTACACTCCAACACAATTCCCTGAGCATAATTTTAATTTTATTTTTTTATTAAAATAAAAAAAAATTAAAAAAATTACTAACAGACACAACACATTAAATCTATTAAGCATCTAAATTTACCATTCCATGTTAACTTTTACATTCCCAAGCCAATTTGCCATTTAGCAAATGCATTTCTAACATAAATGGAATATAATCAAATATACATAAAATGCATTTGATTATATTACAATAATGTATTTCAATGAGTTTGCCAAAAGATAATATCATAAGCAAGGAAACTATTATGCCTGGTCTGAAGCTTTATGTTAAAAGTACCAGAGCTTTTCTTCTCCATTTTCTGAAAATTTGAACTTTGAACTTTTCTGTTACAGTCATTTTCTTTTCCTTTTTCAAAAGAATTAATTCACCTTGTACCAACCATTATAAATAAAAACCCAAAAAAAAAAAAAAACAAAAAAAGATTTACTCAAAAAGAAAAGAGGGGCACTAAACTCTTGGCCTAAAAAAAAAAAAAAAAAAAAAGATTTACTCAAAAGAAAGAGGGGCACTAAACTCTTGGCCTGAAAAACCAGGGAAAAAAAAAGTTAGAAAACCTTTACAGTCTATACAAAATTCCAAGTTGATCTTGCAACAAATTGCTTTCCAAGTTTGAAGCTACCCACCTTCCTGCCCCATGCGAGCCTGCTTCTCTGTCTTTGTACACTACTTCTTTGAGTATGTAAGATACGGATCTTGAGCAACAGTTAGAACATCTGGTCTTTCAGTTTGGTTATACGTTAGACATCGACGAATAAAATCCTGCAAGGAAATCAGTTAAAAATCATAAAAATTAGAAACAGAAAAGCACCTACACAGTCTTCCTAAATTTTCATTAACATTCAAAGATATATTGAAACAACTTGGGATAATATTGCAGGACGAATAGAAAGATTAGATATAGAAACAGGGGGTGGCTGATCAAAATTCTTTCATATGTTATATTATAGCAGGTGAAAATAGCTAATATCGCATTTTTCTATGATAAATTTATTTTTCCCCATCTTTGGCTCATCATCCAGGAACCCAGCAACGATATTCTGCACCCAAACAATTATCCTAAGCTTTCTAAAAATCTTTTAATATACAACAAAAGATGTGATAAATTGAATCACATAAAATGTCTACTATCTTTCCTCATGTGCATTAATGCAGAAACAATAATTTCTCTTGTGCTTAAGCACTGAAGGAAATTGCGTGGTGTACGCTTCAGTAGAATAGGAACAAAGCATGCAGTATTAACTATCATAAAACAGGTAGTCCATCTCACCTTTGCCTCATTTGAGACAGAAGGCTTTGAGGGGAATTCAACCCTGCGAGCTTTAATAATTGTGTCTTCACGCAATATTCGTTCTTGAGATTGGTCATGCCCAAAAGGACGTCTGCCAAAGAGCATTTAGTAGAATAGAACCCCAGCTGACCAGACATCCTGACCAGACCATTCTAACCCCCGACTCCGCAAAAGGAGAGCAAGCAAAAGCAAGTGGACAACATGGACAACAAATTGGACAACAAATAAAGATAAGAATAAGATATTCATTATCTATGAAAAAGCTTCATAAAATGATATGTCTTGAGCAATACAACCATTTAGACATTCATAAAGGCATGACGCAAGAAACAAAGGGAGTTCCTTGTATCACAATAATCCCCTACCCTCTTCCCTGCAAGGACATTTATTCATAGCAAGACTGACCTTCGATGATATTAAAGGGATCTTGGTGAGCTCAAAGCATTCTGGCGGCAAGTACCTAAATTACCGAAGGGGGAAAACACATTAGCTACAGTTGCCTTAAAGCTAAACAAGTGAACCTATAAGCAACATTCTAACTGCAATCACATCAAGATTCATCTTTTCATTGTGTCTTTCTTTGTGCATCCATGTGTTTTGCACACACAAAACAGAAAACAAACAAGAAATAAAATACCATGGAAAAATAATTGGAATCGCTAAAGAGAATCAACGCACAATTTCTATTAAAAAGGGGCAAAAGAAGAGTTAGGTTAACTTATGAATTACTAGTGAAAAATATATAAGGGGCAAAAGAAGAGTTAGGTTAACTTATGAATTACTAGTGAAAAATATATACAACAATTTCATGCATGTAACTTTATTCATCCATTTCAAGTCTGTACACGAACTCCAATCCTTTTACCCATTAACAATTTAGAAGATTTCAAAAAACCTTTATCACTTAGCTTTCGACTTTTCAGAAATATATTAGCGGTATAGAAAGACCCTATGCAGCTTAGGGTTGGCTCTGGGCCTTCCCTGTGCAGCTTAGGTGGAAGGCGAAGAAAACCCCAACAGGAAAATAAACTGGAGCACCTAAGAACATATCTTCACAGACCAAGAACTACAAGATCGCCAGTATTAATAACCCTATTTCATCCATAGAAATGCAAATCTATTCCATGCTCAAAATTCTGTCATCATGCATCAAATGCTGTCATATTAGTCAAGAGGTAACTGACCACCTAATGAAATAAAAGAATCCAAATGTTTCTCATAATTCTTCATAAACACTTAAAAACTGAAATTCTGATGAACCAGAACAATTGATTTCATTGTATGGTATAGCATGGGTGATCTGATATCAACCACAATAAATCACCACTAAATTTTGTGATTGAAATCCTTATGCAAACTAAGTGGACATAGCCAATGGAAAATCTGTTGACTAGCTATCTTCATATTCTGTTCAGGACGTTTCCAAAACAAATTTTCAAGTTGAAAGATGAAAGTTGAACACGCACTTGACATATAGAAACCAAACAATAATCTTTGATTAGGAAACCGCAAAGTTGTTTTAGAAATATTTGTGAAAAGTTGAGGAACTTGTCCACTAAATAAGGTTGTAGGGAATGTTTGTATTTCAAAACAAGGGATTACAACAATTCATTCCAGGGTGAAATTCACTAAATGGCAAGAACTGCACATTGACTCCACCAATATGTTCCAGCTTCCTGGGATGTAAGTTCATACCCTGGGATCCAAACATCATCCTCCATTATTTCTTGCTACAGACCCCAAAAATCAAGTAACTTTAGCAACACCAAGGCTCCAATTCCCAAATAGAAACTTTCCCAGGCTTCAGGATCATAATGGACTATAATCTTCTGTGTTCTTTTATTCAAGTATACAAGGCCTTGAAATATTTGTACAATAATGATCCGAGCTTCTCTCTCAGGCAGTATAGGTGTTGCTTTAAGAACAGCATCGAGATCCTTTCCTGATAAGGGAAGATGAAGGAAAATCAAAAAAGTAAAATTCTGAGGGTACATTGAATAGGTTCATTCTTACTGATCAGAGCACAGTCTGAAGGTATTCACTGATATGCCCATATATAAGTATTGAAATCAATATCATGTTCAAGAGAATATCATAACAGAACCAGAAACAAACGGAGATAATCTCAACCTGACAATAACAGAACCAGGTCCTTCTGTGATCAACAATGTCTGTGGCACCACTGCACCAATGTCTTGTAGGGATACATTTGTACTTCTCCGCCTATAGCATTGCCTTATGGTTAACTTTGCTTCTTATCCTCACTCCACTGGAGGCATTCAGGAACCATGAAGCTTTAACATTGCGAACGTATCTTATATGGCTCTACCCAAATCATAGGGCCTGCTGGATAATTTCTGAACTTCAAATCACTGCAAAAGGTATGCTTTACATTGCCAATATTGGCAAAAGGGAATTTCTAGAACTTTTGCTATGGGCAATTAAGAGCCTTGCTTAGAATTGCTGCAGACAATCCGCCAATTGTTTCCAATTTATTCAACCACCTATTTGATTTTTGAATTGTAAAGTTCTGGACCCTTGTAAACCTCACTTTTAAATCCTTCCTTTCCCAAGGAGGATCTCGCAGGGCATTATCGGTTGATTTGTCAGAAAATCTGAAAATATTAAAGCGTCGGAACCATCCTTCATCTTTATACGTTTACATTTCACGTATCAGCCGTTCCCTCTAAACAATACATCAGTATAACATAACAGAATCTCTCATCACGCACCAAAATAATTCTTCCCACTATAGAAAATTTCCTATAGAAAATCAATAGCCTATTAATGAGGACGCACATGTGCATAGAGAAGTAAAATTAGTGAACTTACACGCTTAATGCTTGCTAGACGAGATTTAAAAATTTCGTCCTGGATTATAAAATCTTCATCTTGCGCTCCTGATTCTGCATCTGTTCCATCTCCCTTATCTGCATATCAAAAAAAAAAATAAAAATAAAAATAAATGCAATTAATATTAAGATTTTTTCCTTTTTTTGTTTTGCAAGCAGAGAAAAAAAGACCGAGAGAGCTAACAAAAGCTAAATAAACCACAAGCGAGCCAGCTTTTGAAATTCAAGTGAAAGACAAACATTTATTATTTATCAACACGGGGCCAAAAGTTTCCTGTCCGTACTAAGAATTTTGTAAACCACCAATGGTAAAAAGTAGATGATCCTTTGACAGGAATAAAAGGAACACCAACAGATCCATGAATGAGCATTAAGTTCATGTTCTAGAGTTTCAAAAGGACCATTCAGCTCCATTCTCTCTGAAAAGAGATAACAGGCCGTAAAGAGGACAACTGCCCAAGTGTTGTATGATAACGGGAAATGCCCACTGGAGGTTAGCAAGAATATGTACCAGAAAACCTTAGAGCAAACATAATTTTCTGTTGATCAGCAAAAGCCATAACAGCATGAGGACTGATGAAAAAAAAACCATACAGCATGAGACTTGAATTTGAAAAAAGAAAATTATAATGTCGGTAAAATAAGTTCTGAGGGGGCAACAAAAAATCTTATAGACGCTCACACAAAAAGAGAGGATGCTTAAAAATACTAATTCACAGTTTAGTACTGTGACCCCAACTAAAAGATTCAAAAGGACTTGTAGGGTATTCCTGAATCTTACATTTCCAATCCTTCAATTAATACTAAAAAGAGTGGAGCATTAAAGATGCGGGTGTCACCCAAGCACCTTAGAGAAATAAAGATAGAATAACGAAACATGGATCTAACTCCAGTGTTGTCGTTTACTTCAGAGTGATTTCGCAGCAATGACCCAATCACAAACAATGGCCCTGCTTAATGGTAATTCCACCTTATTATTAATAAGTCTCTCTTCTGTAAAAAATAAAAAAGATACAACACAAATGATTAATGAGAAATCTGATATAATATTACCAAATGGCATCAAATGCCACTGTAATAATAATTATACTAATGAAGGTTTGACTTTATTTGAATCCCAAAGATATTATAATAAATAAAATAATAATGGTGTTACACTCATAATAAAGTTGTTCAACATCCAAGTGAGCGTGACAGCGGACAAGGGAGATCATTCAGCTTAAATTTGCAAGTTTCTGTCATTGGAAGAATCACACACAAATTTTCTATGGTGATTAGTAACCTATAAATTTACTGTGTTTAAATTTTGGTTACGATTTTCCTTTCGGTAAATGCACAATTTAAGTAATCCTTAAAAACAACCAGTGAGTGGTGTTCATAAAACAAAGTAATTTGCCAGATGTGTATTACTTTTACTTCAAGTTTTAAATGTGATAATTGA